AAATTAGAAAATGTGCCAATTACTGTACATGAATCAAATATGTAATACCTACATTATAAATGGTGTTATTTAAAAGAAGTTCGGGAGAAGGTCAAATTGTAAGATCGCACCTCTGCACTTTTATGTATAATTACTCTCTGCGCAAAAACACTCTCTCCAAAAAAAGGCACACATCTTTTCTTGCTCCTCACCCTCCACCCTGACTGCACCCTGGTTCATACTTCACACTGAAGTATTAAGCATGCTCTCCCTTTATATTCAGCAGGTCATTTTATTATTAGAATTTAACAGAAATTAGAATTAAACATAGTTTAAATTTGTGTCAAATGCATTACAGCAACAGAAATAATAATACTATGAGATGTGGATTCGTATAAAACTGAGCATTAACAAAAGCATTATTTAGCTTCACACCCAGTATAATTTTCTGTTGTTTGTGGTTCTCCTTACTGCAGGTAATTGTTTATTAGCAGGTAATTAAGAAGATGTCTCTAGATGTCTCCATCTAAAATGTCTATATTTTTTCACATGTAAATTTACAACTATTGTACAGTAAGTGACTACTGAAGTGCTTTGAAGAATCTGTATACAATGGCTAACACCTGATTACTGTCAACATATCGAGTTCTCGGAGCTCTGAAGCAAGGAGAAGTTCCTGAGATATAAGATCTGAGATTCCGTGATCCAAGCACCTATAAAATTTACCTCGGTTAACCGTGGTTAATTAAGTTCTGGGTAAATGGTTAAGTGTCATTCGACAGTCCAGGCAACATCATAAAAGACAGATAGGGAGAGAAAGTGAAAAAAGAGAGACAGCAGGGACTTCAAGGGACAGAAAGGCATAAGCTTTAACTGTAGGTCGAATCCTCTTTATTTTAGACGGAAGCTTTCTCTTTTGGTCTTTGTAGGCATTATATAAGAATTGAATGCTTGGTAGCAGTCTGGGGTTTTCTATATGGTCATGACTTACAGTAGGCTTCTTGGATGCCTTGTCTGTAATCATGTAACTTGTGTGTTGTATGTTTTACTGTATGTAGTTTAGTGTGTGTACTTTGTTAATAAACCCAGTGTACTTGAATTATTATTCATTTTTATCAAAGCTGTGCCACAGAACAAAGTACTTTTACCAACCACTCACATATATTCTTGGAATAATCTTAACAAGTTGGGAGTTATGATTATTTAATTGACTTATTGATTAATCTGCTCATGTATTTCTGATATTTCTTTGTTTCATAACCCCAAATTGTAGCAATATATTTGTATGATGTTTTATATTTGAGTATTAGTGGGGCTAAAAGTAAGCTCTGAAATGTTTCAGACCTACTTTGTAAAATACAAAGATAAAACTACATGCAGTTATAAGTATTCCTTAATTGATTCTCAACTCTTATTTCCATTGGCTTTTGCAGTATTATGTATTGGCAAAATTCAGTTATTCAGGTGTTCATGAATAACACCTCTGTTTATCAGAGGAATTCTTATTGCTGTGTTTATTTCCACAATAGCTTTAAATATAATAGTATATCAAACCATGTCAACAGTGACAGTAAAAAAACGCTCTGTTAAATTGCGTTAATCATGCATTAACTGTAAACAACACCCCTTAGAGGTTGAGCTTTTAAAACTGTTCAGTTACCGTGTGTGTTCAGACAGTGAGAGATGAGACATGGGCTTTAAGAACCACGTCAGAGGAATCACTGAATATGACGTTTCTTAAAAATCCTTGTTTTGTGCTAACCAGAGCCAATAACAATCCATAGCTGCTTGCGCAATATATATTAATCCCCCATGTAACCCCTCTAAAATGGAGCATCCAGCAAAGCCTCATTAACTCATAAACAACATGTGGCAAGCTGGTCTTTGAGGAGACTGTAGTGAGAGCATACCTGCCACTAAAGGCTGCAAAAGGCCTTTTTTATTTGTAAATAGACTCACCGGGTGATGATAAGTTGATTAATTTGTATATTGGTGATGGTGATTGTAAATGCACATTTTTCTACAGCCGTGATGACTGTGCTTGGTGCATGAAAGGCCTCACAGAGTTGGTAGGTGGTGGTAGACTGGGGAGGCAGCTGAAAAGTTGTTTTGTTTATATAACCAGCAAGATCTCAAAAATGAAGCCTCTTGCACTGTCCTGTGTTTTTTATATGTTTAGATTCCCTGAAAAACTTTAATGAAGGGTGAGGTCTGTCACACAACTTTTGATTTGATTTGATTGGAGAGGTTTGCTTCATTGATTTGTACACCATGTGAAATACATGAAAAAACGTTTGATGCTTTGTCATTTATTACATTTAGTGTAACCATACATGTATCACTCAAAACATTATACAATCAGTCCTCAATAAGATATTTTTGGTAATTAAGAGTATAATATACAGTATGCCTTCTTCTTAACACCTAAATTAATCCATTACCACAGTGGGAAGGCAAAATGAATGAGACAATCTAGTTATGGAAAATAAAATAAAATTGATAATTTAATGGTCTGCAATTTTATAAAAGTACAAATAGCAATATTGAAGTAAAACTTATAACTTATAACTTATTGAAGTATAGCTTATTTACTATATGCCGTGATGGTAGTATGCTATAGCAAAGGTGAAATAAGGTTGCACCCTGTCTCCATGCCACAAATCTGTTAGGGGTAAGGCACTGTCAACTGGACAAGAACAGGAGATCCCTGACTTCTCTTGTTGTTGTTGTTTCTTTCTGTAAGGAAGACAGGTGCCACATCCAATTAGTCACAGAACACATTACTGTAATTAGATTTAATGTTGCTACAGTGGCCGGAAGCAATTCAGTTTGCTTAAGAAAAGCTCCAGGAAGAAAATTAGTAAAGGAAAATAGAAGTTCTAAAACAGATTGCATCCTTGACCCCCGCCAATGCCGAGGCATTCGAATGTAGTGGCATTATGTTATGGTTTAGGTTAGAAAGCAGTTACAGTACTTGGTTCTAGGAACTACAGTGTGTCACATTGGTCTCCCATGGTAAATATACTGTACCATTCATACTATTTATAAGTTAAGTTTAATTTGAAAACATTTAATGGAAATGACCTTAAATTGAAAACCACAGGGAACCTCACATAGCCACTTTATATAATTTCTAATAAAATTTAAGAATTTAAATTTGACTTGTCTGCAATAATTACCCTATCACAGATGTTGTACAGTGTTTGTATTTTTTCTACTACCAGTTATAGTTTATTAGAGACCCAGTTTATCAGTGTTCTTATACTTTCATTGTTTTTTTAGTCAATGACTAATATTTGCCACTTAATAAATAATATAATTTGCAGTACTTAAGTGAAAAGTGAATGAATTAATTATGAATAATGAATTATTATCAGCTAGAAATGAATACTAATACAAAGGAAAATCTCTGTTTTCATTTGTATAGTCACTTGATTTTTAGTAGTTGTCTCATATTTGTTTAATATTTTCTGTGTTTCCTTAAGCTGCCTCATTCACACCAGCACTTATACTAGTGTTTTGCTACCAGCAGTGATAATGTGCATATACATGTACAGTATATCATCACAAATTGGACAATGTTCTCCTATAAACTACATCTGAGCACCAATGAATGAGACTATCATTTGTAAAACTGAATGTTTCTGTCAAGTTATTCCTGAATGCAGTCAGCTGATACTTAGTCTTCAGGGCTGCTACAATCTAGGTTATTTCAAAACATACAATTCTTCATTCATGTAATGTATAATTTTCTTTCTTTACAAAGTAAAGATACAATGTCAGTAGCTTAAAAGTGTTGTCTGCTATCCACCATTCCCAAAATGATTAATTTTGTAGACTTTTTTCCATCTAATCAGAGACTGTTATCATGAGTTAGAAAGTGTGCTGATTCATTATCTTCAGATTAATGAGAAGTCTTTTGGCAGACATTAGACAATGTGAGTATCTTACAGTTCATCGCCACTAAGTGAGAGTTTGATTCTGTTTGTTCATATTTTCTCTTGTGCTACTGTATATCATGTTTGGCATTCAGGCATTCAGCTATTCATACTGAAATGCTCTGACATAACCACTGGGAACAGTAAATGAGTGCTTCCAGATAAATTGTAGATCAGAGTAGAAATTAATATTAATGCAACACAACTGTTAAGATTGCTTTAATTTTTTTGGCATCCTGGTATAAACTGCTATAAATAGCCAGCAGTTTTTAACAAAACAAAGCCCATTTAAGCTGTGCAGTTTGCAGGCCTTGATGAGTGGCAAGGAATTATAAGAATTTCAATTAAGAAGATACAAATAAAATTGAACTTTTTTATGCAGTATGTTATCCTGGTATGCACTGTTTTGAAGCATGATACAGATTTCTTTTCAGTAGCTGAACAGGGACAGGAATTTGAACTGCTGAAAGTATTTTTCATTGTAGCAAAATACAGTGTCCTAAACGTAATGATGTTTGTCACCATCCAAGAAAGATGGATAACCTTAAGAGAATTCCATTCTCTTCTTGCACTAAAATTCTGTTTGGTTTTACTGACAGCTTTTCAGAAAAACATTTTCATTCAGAGCTATGAAAGATAAAGACGCACAACTCCAAATACATTGTTATTGAATTCTTACTCACCTAGAGTGGGTACTACTCAGATTTCAATAAAATGTGACCTTCAGTATTCTTCTATTTTTGTATTTTTTGAGCGAGTCTGTTTAACCTTCTTATGGGGTGATCATAATTAAAACTCTTCGCAATACCTTATTATTTTGCAGCTTCAAAAACAATTCAAAATGGAGCAAGACATGTTGTATCACAATTCAATACAATTCAAAGTAAGGTCAACATGTAGAGGTTAAGATGATTTTAAAGCTTTGCTGGTAATACAGATAAAATGTCTTAATCTGATGTATTATGATTTTCATTTTTAATCTTTAGCTGGACTGGTAGATATGTTTTCTGTAAAGAGCATTTTGGTTTATTGATTATTAAATTCTATGTTTTATTTAGTTCACTTCTGTTTTGTATCATTCAGGACACTCATCTAATGGATCAGTGGGAGAAGTGTCAGTTAATGTGGATCTGATAACACACCCAGGAACTGGAGAGCACAGGGTCACTGTGAAAAGTAAGATCTTTCAAATGTTTTTTTTAACTTGTTTGTATTTTGAGTCGGTCAGAAATGTTGTGTTAAAGCTGGGATTGGGTTAAAACTAGGATGTTACTTTTGTCTTTAATTCTGACCTGTTATATCTCCTCATATATGCTGAGCAAATTGTTCAATATATAAAATATATTGACAATATATAAATACACAACAGTATAATATACAATATATACTACGATATAGTTCAGGTGGGTAGCTGCGTCAGCATGCGTAGGCTGCAAAGGAACAAGTAATAGGTTTATTCCATGCTGAAAAAAAGAAGAAAGAGAACACAACTTTTCGGCCGTGGAGCCTTCTTCAGTACTACGATATATATCAATACTACGATATATACATCTTGAACAGCACAAATAAAGCACCAAAACAAAGTATATAATGCTGTATATACTGTACAGTATATCAGTCTTCCTTTTAACAGCCAAAGTTAAGAGTAAAAAAAAAACAATATTTTTCAGTGAAGTATCACAGATTTTTTGCTCTCATTAGAAAATTCCAATGACAATGAACAAAGTTTTAATCCTCTTATTTGCTGATTATGTGCCTGTTAATTTTCTGCTTTTTTTAGGTTGGGCCCATTTTCTCCAGGAAGCTCATTTGTCTTTAAATAGGGCCATTAAGAAGAAGAATATACCTGAACATTTTTTTCATCAAGAGAAATGACTAATGAATCAGTATGCTATGTTAAAAAATGCATTAAAATACACATTTCTCCTTCTTTCAGCGTCTCTCTCTATCCCAGGGTAGGGCTGCAGTCTTGTTCCTTGGAACATGAAAACTGCTATTCCAAGACCACAGATGAGCCATGTCAAGCCTGTACAAGCCACTGTATTAACATGTTAATGATCCAAAACAGTCCTGGGTCCTTACACACTGCTGTGTGTCTTCCCTCTAGTTGTAGCAGTGAATGACCTGAACTGGCAGACCAACGCCATGTTCCGCCCCTTTGTGGAGGTCAGTGCCGTGGGTCCCAATCTCAGCGACAGAAAACGGAGATTCGGCACAAAGACAAAAAGCAACACTTGGTCCCCGAAATACAACGAAACATTCCAGTTGTAAGTTTAACACTCTTAACGTTCTTTTTTTTAAAAAAAAAGTTGGAGTTATTGGATCTCTGTGATGGCAGAATGTAAATCATGCGCCTTTCTTATGAGACACACAGTTCAGCACAGAGGCATTAGCTGTGCTTTTTTCAGACATCACCTCGTACGTAAGAGAAACAGCAATGCTGTCACCTGATCTCGACAAAACCTCAGAAAGTAAGCAAGGCTGGTCAGTACCTTACACAAACCACATTCCTTCTTGTGGTACGAGTAAGTGCTTTTGTTTTTCTACCAGAATTCCCAAAACAGTGCCACAGTATGATAACTGGTATGCAGCAGGCGGCTCAGGTTCCTTCATTTGAGACATTTAACTGAAGGAAACTTGAAACCTGGAAATTTAATGAAAATGAGGCCTGACTCCTTTGTCATTCGAGATCTCATGGTACAGTTCTTAAGAGTAGTGGTAATCCTGCTCTCCTGGTTAAATTCCACTTTGGGATTGTACAATCTGGTCTCCATAAAGTTCCCTTTTAATTCAACTGGTGTCCCACTTTCTCACCTGAACAGCTGTGCTGATTGACTGTTACATATCACCTGGGTGGGGGCTGTGCTTCAGTGGCGGAAGTATTAAGAGCTTCAGTCCCAGATATAGTCGATGTATAGTCGATAGCAATGAATTGTATTCACAAATGCTATTCCAAAATTAGGTAAGAAAACAGGAGATTTACAGGTTACTGTGAAAATTGTAAATAATTGTGTACGCATTAAGTAAACCGTGACAATAACTTGCATGCTGAACTTGCATTTCACCGTACCTGAATTTTTCTAATTTCTGAAATATTTGTCATTTTCTTGCCTGCTTTCTGATTGACCTCTAACATGTCGTATTATGATTAGGGATCGTAGAAACCTGTTTGATGTGGGAAAATTGCTTTTTCAGTGACAAGATTTGATTTTACTAAAACTGTAAAAAGATAAGATTCCTTTTCTGAATGTCAGTGAACCAATTTCCTTTACTCTTCACTGTAAGTAGTGTTGTCATTTTTGTATTGTGAGATTATAAATCTGAGTGTTAACAGGTACAAACAGTTCTCTGCGCAGTTCCTCTACTGCTGATGAGTTGTATCATTTGCCTTCTTGTGAAGAGCTTGATATGCATGTCAAGACCATGCAGTCACTTATTTTGTTGTATAAAGCAAATCATTGGCAAATTGAGCCTTTGTGTTGTTGCTTCTGTGATAAAGACTGTACTGCAAAGGTGGGCACAGTCCACACAAAAAGACCTGGAGACTGCTATCACAATAGTATGTTTTTATGTACTGTTTATTAGATAAGTGCAAATTCTCCTATTTGTAACAAATAAATTCTGTCAATTATTTAGTAATATCACTATTATAAAATAACGCACACAATATTTTTAATAGGGCTGCACAATGGCTCAGTGGTTAACTTCCTCGCAGTGCTGGGACTCTGGGTTCAATTCCTGGAGTGCTGTCTGCTTGGAGTTTGTACTGTATGTTCTCCCCGTATTAGCCTGGGTTTCCGCCTGGTGTTGTGGTTTCCTCCCACATTCCAAAGACATACTGGTATGTTAATTGGTTTCTGGGAAAAAAGTGACCCTGGTGTGTGTTTCTGCATCTGTGTGTGTGCCCTGCGATGGACTGGCATCATTGTGCCCATTGCTTGTTGGGATAGGCTCTGGCTCACCCATGACTTGTGTTGGATAAATCATTTAGAAAAAGAGTAGATATTTTAAAAAGGTGAATGTAGATTTTATGACATGGTAAACTAGGATTCCTGATTTTGACACAGCATACTAAAACAATAAGGAACATGTGGTAGCATCTTCCAATATTCTATACTTCCTCGCCAACATTGTAACATATCTGAGATTATCGCTTTCTGGAGGGAAACTAAGATTGTTTCTGAATTTGTAGATTAGACTGTGGTGTTTTCAGTTATATTTCCCATTTCTTTCTAATCACACAGCATTCTGAGCAATGAGGACGGGCCAGAGGCCTACGAGTTGCATCTCTCTGTGAAGGATTATTGCTTCGCCAGAGAAGACCGTATTATAGGAATGACAGTTATCCAATTAAAAGACTTCGCAGAAAAAGGAAGCTCTGCATCCTGGTATCCTTTGGTGAAGAGCATCAGCATGGATGAGACCGGATTAACCATTCTGAGAATACTCTCCCAGAGGACCAACGATGAAGTGGCCAAAGAGTTTGTACGCCTCAAGTCAGATTCACGGTCTGCTGAAGAAACTACCTGAAGGGCGTGATAAACATCATCTGACTTGGAGAGAATGGACAGGAGGGGTTGTTCTGTTTGTTTAGTGCATGTGTATAAACATCTGTTGGAATGTCGATTTGGAATATGTACAAGTGTTTACCTATACTTACTATTAAGTACTATATTCTATGAGTTATGTTAAAGAAATATTAAATACCTTTTTGTACTAAACTTAGTCTTTTTGAACAGATAACTGTTCAGATGAAGTGCCATACCAGAAAAAAGACAAAAAATCAAATGGTGATCTTGGTATCTTTTAAAATTTGCTTGATTATTTTGTTTAGAGTGTAAATCATTCTCTATCCTTGTATTGTTTAATCGTTCAGTCATTTCACTTGCACAGTTGTCTTTCAGTCCCATATGTTACTGTACATATCACCTCTCGTTGGCATGTTCTGTTTTCGGATGTTACCTCCTGGTATCTCACAGTGACCATTAGCTTGGGTCTTATTCCACTTCTTTGTACTTTGAGCTGACCTAAACAAAACATTTTCTAATATGGCAATGACTGCTATGTTAACCTATATAGGTGTTTGTAATTTTATATCTGCTGAAAACAATGAAGACAGCTCTTCTGTGTTACCAGTTTAAAGAGAAAGGGTGGAAACTATTTTTGTCACTGGATTCCAGCCTTTCTGTATTATCACTGTGACAATGAGCTTTGAAGGCAAGCTTACATAACATTGCTGACAGTTTGATATTGTTGTTTCATATATAGAAATATCTTTGTTCCTGAGAAACTGCCAAAGTTATATAAACTGTTTGTACAAAAAAGCAATCCATGATCCATATGAAACAAATATTTGTGCTTTACAACTTTCAATGCTACATAACTGATTGTTGATGAGCTAGTTCTGAGAATCTTCTATTTTTTTTATTAGTGCGAAGCTGTTAACCACTTTGTACATGTTGCTTTACATATTAGTTATATCAGCTTCAGTCATTTAATTTCTGTTCCTTGAAAAGAAAGAATTTAACATTGGGGTAATTATGCAACATTCCTATGTATTGCACTGATGGCGAACTGTATGTCATGTAAATATATTTAGTGAGAAATTCTAAAAAGTCTGTTTTCCTTGCATTTTTAGTCTCACAGTTCATACTTTAAAAAATGTGAAAAGAAAACATACCAGAACTTTTCTTTTTATGTCTGGCAAAGTGTCAGATACTGTATATCTACAGTACTGTATATACTGTATCTGTCCTAAATCAGCTGACCTATATTTTGGAGTAAATACTGTATATTCATGCAGAATGAAATATTTTAAAAATGGGAAATACAAATATAAACAGAAATACAAGCTGAGGCTATAATAATGCTGTATTACAGGAGTCTATTATAAAGCACAGAAATCAAACACAATGTCCCCAAATCTCCTGTTGTAATAAGAGACCTGTGGAAAGGTGCTCCTCACTGGGACAGAAGTTTTTATTTCTCATTCCCATTTTCTCTATTCCCATGTTGTCTGCTTCCCATGGCCCAAAACTGTAGACTATTCCAAATTATGGGAAGTCTGTTATCAAGAAGCACTGAAACTGGCTTGTTCTACAATCTCCAGAGCACCTGACCTGATTTTGAGTGTTTTCTCCCAGTAAATATTTTAACCTTTCATGTCCTACAGAGGAATGCACAACGGATAATCGGACAGAGGCAGTTCATTAGCCTGCATTGATGCACTTCAGCTGCATCATAGCGTTCTGTGCCCTCAATGAAGCTCTCCAGTCTAACACAACTCTACAAATGAGTATTTTACTTCCAAAGATAATAGCTCTAAAAGAACCAAGTCATGCTTCCAGTTTTCTCAACAACAAATACAAAACTGCTGTAAAAGTTGGAATGATTTACTGTTTTATATTAAAATAAAGTAAATAGTAATGATATATTTACTATTTTGCTATCACTGTATTTTCTGTTATGAATATATGCGAGGCTCCTGAGCTATCTAGCTTAAATGCAGTCCAGGGACAGTGAATTTGATTAACTTTAAATGAATGAATTTTGGAGGTTTTAGGAATTTTAAAATAAATATGTGCTGAATGACCTGACCTGATTGATTAATAGATTCTAAAAAGCATGGCAGTTTTACATTACAATTCTGAAATCTCTCAAACGTTTTTAACTGTGGACCCAAGAAAAGCATATTGCAGTGCTGTAAATGTCTGGATGTTTGTTTAGGCATTGCAGAAGCTGTAAAGCAATGATAACACGAGGTACCTTATGATCGAAACCAAGAAGCACACTGGCGAAGAGAGCAAACAAAGAAAATATAATCTAAGGGCAGACATTCATCTGTAGTTATTAAAAGATAAATTGCCAGAATGTGAAAAAAATGAATGGTTGCTTTTTGTTAAGATGAGAAAAAATATAAATTATTGATTCCATACTCTGTTCATATACTGTACAGCCCATTTTACAATACAGGTTTTTATCTGCAGTCTCACATGAATTGATGGTAGTAACCATGGAAACTAAATTTGCAGCACTACACCAAGGGTAATCTCCTGTTCAAGTACAGAATTCAATAACCACCATCAGAAAAGATACTGGACATTTTGGGTTTATGATGGACAATCGACCTTTAATTGTGTATATAATAATAATAATTGCTTTTCTGGACACTCAAAGTGCTTTACAGGTAATCCCCTCCACCACCACCAATGTGTAGCCCCCCCTGGATGACAACAGCCATAGTGCGCCAGAACACTCACCCTATAGTGGTAATGAAGCCAATTCATAGATGGGGATTATAAGGAGGCCATGATTGGTAAGGGCCAATTGGAAATTTGGCCAGGACAGCAGGGTTACACCCCTACTCTTTTTGAGAAGCACCCTGGGATTTTTAATGACCACAGTGAGTCAGGACCTCGGTTTTACATCTCATCCGAAGGACAGCGCCTGTTAACAGCATAGTGTCCCTGTCGCTATACTGGGGCATTAGGACCCACATGGACCGCAGGGTGAGCGCCCCCTGCTGGCCCCACTAACACCTCTTCCAGCAGCAACCTTAGTTTTTCCCAGGAGGTCTCCCATCCAGGTACTGACCAGGCTCACACCTGCTTAGCTTCAGTGGGTTGCCAGTTGTGAGTTGCAGAGTGATATGGCTGCTGGCTGTTATATGATGTTGTAATCAAAATGCATACCATTACCCTACAGATCTTCAAGTAAACATATTAGCTGTTAGTTTATTTAATCTTTAACTTTTATGTTGTATCTTTGCTATTATTAACAACACTTTTATATAATAATAATAATAACAACAACAACAATGTATTAACCCTTTACAATTTCTTGCATTAGGAATGATCTTTTCACATACCCCAGCTTGCTCTCCATGAGACACACAGGTAGGGAGAGAGCCTGGGGTCAGAGCACATTGTCTGCAAAGTAAGTTACATTGCCATAGACTTTTAATGTTAATATTAGAGCATATTGGTCTAATTATTAAAGGCATGTCTTTATACCATACAAGGGAATGCACCAAATGCATTATTGTATGTATTCAGATTTTTCTTTTGTCATTCAATCATGCTACAGTACATCCAAATTGAAATGAGGGATACATCAAAATAGAAGTGTTCCTTCATTTTACTTCATAAGAAAGTGTCACAGGGAAGGCAAGAGGGGTGCCCAGATGAGTTCTTTTAACAAAGGCTCAGCTGCAATAGCACGTAGGTGCAAAGGGGTGGTTTATTAGGACAGTGCTTCCCACAAACCAACAAAACAATTATATATGGTGGAAAAATAACAAAATAGAACAAATATACACAAAAGAATAAACCCTTCCTCTGAGAGTTTTTAACAAGCTCTCCCTTAGCTTAGCGAATGCGCCTCCTAAATAAATACAGTATCGCCCTGCCCCCTTGGACCGTACCACTGTTACATTAAAATTATTGAGTTGCATTTCTCACAATAAACTTATTTACAGCCGTAATGATCCATTCATTCTTTTACACAATAGAATATACAGAATGTACCAAAAAATAAACATCCGTGAACAAAACATTTTACTCATTTTAACTGTATCTGTAAAAATGGTATTTCCTATACCGGATGTGCGCATGCACCACTCAGCGTTTACGCTACAAAGCCAAGCTGAAAAGGAGGTTCGGTTTTGGACCAATGAGGCCACCATACTCAGAAGTCAAGGTGCCGAGGACTGACAGTGACCACAAGAAGGAAAGAGAAGACTGACGGACAGAGCGCTCTCTCATACAGCTAAGTACGAATAAACAGAAAGCATAACGAAATCCTTCAGAGTTTGTGTTTGCGTCTGATTTTCTAAGAATAACGGGAATTAATTTCGAAGTAAAATGACTGTTTTCCGTGTATGGAATGGGAAACTGCTAGCCGAGCCCCGAGTGTGCACCCTCATGAGCTACAGTAGCTAGCCTAGCAGACAGGAAAATGGATGTGTGAACGTGTGTTACTTAAGTGGGATAACATTTGTTGGGCACTGTACTGTCTGTGGACGGTGACGGAGATCCCTCTGTCACAGGAAGCACCTACATTATTACAGAATAATGGTTTCAAGTTCAACATACTGTAGAAATTTGATATTGATGATAGAAATGATTGTCAAGTAAAGGAATATTTCTGTACATTGAAATTCCACTTTTAAAGGACAAATGGTATTTAATTTATAAAGGATGTTGGAATTTGAAACCTTTACGTTTTAAACGAAAGTAGTGAAATATATATCTTTTAGAGTGTTTTTTAACTTAAATCCTTAAAACAAAATAAATGTTTCTAGCAATGTAGAAAGAGAATTCATAATGTACTGTGCTCCAGAAAACAAATGTTGACAGGCAAGAGGCATTCCTGTACACTTCTTATTTTCCTTTTTGATAGACTTCTTTGAAATTGAAATCTCCATTCTGGACAACATCGATTTTGGAGGGGGGTCCTTCACTCCTGGATGCTCCAGTTCATTTCACATGCTAATCCACATCGATTTATTTCAGCAGTTTGGTCAAACCCTAGTCAAGGAATAGGTAACTCCAAAGAATAATCCTTGATTGAGGAACGTGGCAAGCTCATGGGGATTCAAATGTTATGTAAACACTACATGTGGTAAATGGAATTCCATGATGAGCAGGGAAAAGTGTGCTAATCCATGGAATTGCTTGAAAGTGTTTAGGGTGGCACGTTGGTGCAGTAGTTAGCATTGCTGCCTTACAATGCTGGGGCCCTGGGTTCGTTTCTGGATTCACTGTGCAATCTGAAAAGATTGAATGTTCTCCCCGTGTTTGTGTGCGTTTCCTCCCACAATCCAAAAACACATTGGTAGGTTAGTTGGCTTCTGGGAAAATAAGCCCTGGAGTGAGTGTGTGTACCTGTCTCAGTGTGTGACCTGCGATGGGCTAGAGTCCTGTCCTGTCCTGTCTGTTGCTTGCTGAGGTAGCAAGCAGCAGGTAGGCAGGTTTCGGCTCCCCCGCAACCCTGAATTGGATGAAAATGGAAGGATGTTTTGTATTGAAGCTGGCTGAGGTAATATTAGCACTTTCTTGTTAGAGCTTCAAAAAAATGTTGTGGCCACCAGTGGCAAGTCATTTAGTGTTAATTTGGAATAACCCATAAATAAGCCAGAGGGGATGGCAAAGGTTAGTGTATTTGGTAGTAGAGAGGTTTGAAGGAACTGTTTGCGGAGACTCGTATGAAGTAATGAATGAAGGGAAAGCTCAAGGTGTGATAAGTGCAATGGAGAAGAGAGGTGACGCAGTGTACAGAGGTAGTTACTGAAAGATGACTTCTGAAAAGGTGTAGAACTGATGTTGGAGGTCCTAAATTTCTGTAAAGGGTTAAACAAACAAACAAGCAAGCAAGCCTCATGCACTTAGAAATTGTTACAGGTTACAAATCTATTACACTCAGATTTGAAGCACCTTTAAAATGTTCACCATGGACACATTACAAATGAGTGGGTAAGGAAAGATTTGGACTCCCAAGTGGAACCCCGAAGATGAGTAGTGATGATGATGGAGTACAGTCTGCAGAATACTGTAGAGGAATCCTAAAAGAATTATGAGGTCAGGGGTCCACAAACTATGGGTAGTGTGGGGCCAGT